AAGACTCCACATGCGACATGATTGAAATTAGAATGAACTATATATAACAATATAACATAACAATATAACAATACAAGAACACACAAGAGATACAAACTCAAGGTTAACTGCACCAAACTTGATTGCAGGAAATACAGCTTCAGCAACAGAGTGGTCAATGTCTGGGATACTCTACCTGACTCTGTGGTTTCTTCCCCGAACCCCAAAAACTTTAACCTTAGACTGTCTGCTATTGACCTCAACCCTTTCCTAAGAGTAGGGGGCGTGCATTTTTATTTTTTGTATTTTTCTTATATGTATCTATGTATTCATAACTATGTTTATACTTATACCTGTTATCTTGTAAGCAATTGACAAATCAAATCAAATCAAATCAAATCAAAATAAAATATATCAATTATCCCTCTCCAGGAAATTGGAAGCTTACCCTTTTTTCAAACGTTTTCAAAGGATTATTTGAACACTTAGTAATTCAAAGAAAGATTATTCAAATTTTTCAGAAAGCCCTGAGAATTTCAAATTCAAATCTGGTCTGGACTGGATTTCAAATGTCTGAGGATTTCAATTGGAAATTTCGTATAGGAAACGAACCGCTGCTCTAGTCGATCCGTCTCCTTGCCTAGAGGATTATTTCCTCCGGGGCGGCTGTGCTCTTTTGCCTGCTTCTGAACTCTTCGGGATGACTGGAACCTTTGCAGAAAAAGGGCCAGACAAAAAACATCCAACCGAAGTAGGCCAACGCCTCACGATCCTCAAGGGGCGACTGGGCTGCACTCCACGCTTCGAAGAAGAGAGCTGCGTGCCGGAAGAGCCCCACAAACCGGCGGTCTTGCCCAAACCAAGGCTTGGAGAGACCCGCCCTCTGCCTCCCTCTCTCCGACACTCACAAGTCTCCGCGTTGGCTGCTTCTGCTGCGGCTGCCGCCTTCGAGCTGTCGCTTTCCTTCGGAGTCAGGTTGATAAAACCCCGCAGATCAGCGAGGCCTTTCATGGTGCGGCTCCGGATTTCCTCCATTGCGGTTCCTGCCAAAGCAGCGTTCTGGAGAGCGGCCGCCTGAGGAAGCCACTCAGACCAGGGCGGGTGTGTCACTTTCTAGGAACAACTCCCTTCAAGCACCTGCCAGACACAACCAGGTGTGATAGAGAGCAACAGCGAGCGAGATATGGATTTGAGAGGGAAATACTTTCTGGATTAGCCTGCTTTTCATATTAAACTTGATGACAATTCCTTGAAAACTTGCATACTTCTGTGGGGTCGCAGTGGATCCCAATAGATCCCAATCTTGGATTTTGAATTTTATTTTATACCCCTGCCATCATTCATTGTTCAGACCTGAATCCTAATGAGAGGCTGGCCTAAATTTACAACTTCATGACGTTTTGACTCACAAAAAACAGTAGAAACTGTCCAGTTAATGGAATTAAGATATTTATTTAGTTTACACGGCCAACATTTCCCTAAACCCGCATTCTTCCTGTACATTTACCTAAAATGTAGTTAGTATTATTCTGCTTGATCAGCATCAACTAATTAACAATGAATTGCAAAAAATCCACACAATGCCAAACTTCTTTGTAAGCAGATGTTGAAAATGATGCTGAGAGCATTTCCAGTCTGTCAATCCTTTCCAAATTCTTATTAGCTCTGCCACAATTTAAAGTATTGCCACTACTGAAATATTTACACTGTGAATCAACAGACTAAAAAAAGAACAATACTGAGGGATGTCCCAATGATATATGATTTAAAAAGTCAAGATGGTCACAATTATATGCATTACACATAATGGATGGAACGTGGATCACATCATGACCACAACTGACTTTTCAACTGAAGAGTATGGATTTCCCTGACTCTGATTCCAGGTTTTATGATGACTCATTGTAAAGCAATTTTGATCATTTTTAATCCTTTTGTTTGCACTTTGGAAAGTTTTTTGTATGTGTTGTCTGTATTCACTTATTTCTTCTTCCCTCTCAGTGCTTTTCCTTTTGTATTACAGTTATTGTATTACAGTTAGACTGTAAATCCAAAAGATTAATGGACTGTTTATGGGACTGGGATTTAAACAGCAGAATAAAATACAAGGTATATTTAGAACATACTACTACTACTACTACTACTACTACTACTACTACTACTACTACGGTTGTAGATCAGTTGCTCATGACCTAAGGTTGGACTACTTCATGGTTGAAATTAAGTTCCATGCATGGTTTTAGTGAATCAAACTGCTAATTTTCCGCCTTCTAAATAAATGTTGACAAAAATGACTCAGCATGAAAGTAAATACATTTGTGAATGAGTCATATTTGTAACATAAAAATAGTTCTCCAGGAAACAGTTGTATTAAAACTATTAGATAGTTCTAATTTTTTAATCTGTTGCTTATGCTTACAAATATCTTACAACAAAAATATATTGTAGAGTTGTAATTGCAGGAATGTTCTTATCTGGATGGCAAACCTCAGGTAATGAATGTTTACAAAGCAAATACAACTCAGGCAAACAAAGTCACTAATCTAAAGGAGGATTAGAGAGAGGAAGTAAACATGAGTTAGACTTTAACTAGAGATAATTAATTGTATTAATTACTATGCTAAACAGTAACGAAAGTTAAGCAGTAACCAAAGTTAACCAATGTTGGAGGATTACTAAAAATGTGTATAAATGCAAGACTAGACTCCAATAAAGTTCATCATGATTCAGTTGATCATGATCAAACACCTCAACTGCCTCGTCATTACAACATTGTATAAACTTTCATATCATTGTATTCCAATACAGAAGCCTGATGATGGCAGATGGGATTCTGCCGAAACATTGCTACAACTTTAAAAGCACAACTACAATGACGTGGGAAAATAATATTTTATAGTTTATATATATATAAACTTGCAACCTGTATGCTTTCTGCTAACAATTTCACTTATCTAATTTATTCTTTTTAAAGAATGTAAGCACATTTAGAATCCACTAAATCAAATACAGTAGGGTTGTTTTAAGGACAATTCTGAAAAAGCAAATAGAAAATAGTATTTCAGGAAATTCATTCAGACTAATTGTTCCTAAATGTTTGTTAAATCATTTTAATACTAACCATAACTTTTAATGGCATTTTTATAAAATTTATTTTATAAAATAGCTGCCTGTTTCCAATAAACATGTATTTATTTGAGCATGCAGGCCATACAGAATTACAATGGATCTGTTTTCAGTTGGACAAAAGCAGCAAAATTTAATGTATTTAAAACTAGTGCCCATTTTTCAGTTATTTTAATTATAAGAATGAAAGACTCTGTAGATTATCAATGTGCATTGCTCAGATGCTGCATATTTTGTTAACCATATGATTAGCTCCTTGAATCTTAAATCTATGCCACTTATTAATTCCCCTACATGCTAACAGTGAGTGCTTGAAGTTTAATGTGTCTAATTTGCTAATTTTATTTCTATTTTTAAGATATCTGGCTAGTTGACTGATCTAGAGCTTTACAAAAAAAACCACCCTTTTTACAACTGTGTAATCCCTTAAACAACCAGTCAACCAATCAGTCAGTCTTTGGTCCTCAACAACGCATAGAGTGCAAATGCAAGTGATAGTCGTGTCCCATGCCGTTATCTAGTGTGCTCCCTGGTCTAGCTCATTTTAGATTATTTATATATTCAAAAAGTTCTGAATTTTTTATTATTCACAACAAAATTCCAGACCCGGGCATTCTCTTCACATTCAAGTTATTGCTCAGGCCCACGTAGATGAAAAGTGGCTGCCTATATAATTATTAGTGTATGATGAGAACATGACGGAAAGGAAGTAAACATATACACACAATCCATGTAATTATATACAAAACCTTTATGAGGCTATGCCAGTGGCCTCACGATTAGACGTCCAATTCAGCTATGCAAGTGATCGCTTCTAGCGTTGCTTCTTGCCAATCTTCTAGGGAACCAGAAAACGCACGTTGTGGGCAATCTTGTACAATATGGTAAATAGTTTGCATATTAGCACTACAATCCCAACAAGGGGACTTTTCCCATTCCCACTGATAAAGGGCACAGGCACTTCTTCCAGCATCACCTAATTTTGTTCAATTTTGTGCAGACTGTGAGGCAGGTCAAAGCCAAATGGCTTGATAGAGGGATCACTGATGGGTAAGCCATAAGAAGGTACCTTGGCTCATTCCTCTCCCGGCATTCCGGGGTTAAGCTGGGTAGATATTAAGTGAATAGCTGTCTTCCATGCTGGCCTATGGGAATTCAATCTTGTGATGGACTGTGCATTGTTCTGGTAAAAAAATGCCTGTTCATCAGCATCCTTGACCATAGCCAAATGAGAGCCTGTTGTCTTCTAATGTTGCTAAGTATGGTAACCAGTACATAGGAGCAGGTGTCTGGTGGAGTTGGACATCAACCATTTGGGTGTAGTCTCTATTAAGCCACATATAGACACAATAGTCCGCTTTTGAGTAGAAATAGCAATGGCATTTAGACTTATATACCACTTCAGTGCTTTTACAGCCCTCTCTAAGCTGTTTAGAGAGTCAGCCTATTGCCCTCAATAATCTGGGCCCACATTTTACCCACCTCGGAAGGATAGAAGGCTGAGTCAACCTTGAGCCTGGTGAGATTCGATCTACTGAATTGCAGGTAGCTGGCAGTCAGCAGAAGTAGCCTGCAGTATTGCACTCTAACCACTGTGCCACCAAAGCCAAGGCAATGTCTATTGAGATTCTCAGTCATCCAGGTCATGGTTGTCCCTTTTTTTTTTCAAGAGGCAACTGGACTTTCTTGTTTTTCTTTCAAGAGGCGTTTTGCATCACATCCAAGAAGCTTTTGCTTCTCATCCAAGAAAGCAGTAAGGCATTAATTTAGTCTTTGACTATAAATTCAATAAAATAGACTAAAGCATGAACCAGATTCCAATTCCAAGGATTGGAAAAACTGAAACAAAAATCTTTATGGTGAATAGAGAAAATGCAAACTACAGTTTCATCAATGAGTATTTATTTTACACATTTTGTGCTGTTTTGCTAAAATCTTTATCTTGAGTTTTACAATTTTTTAAAAAATGGTACTACAAGTTTTAGGAAAATGCATCTTAGATTAAAATTATTTCACAAAATAAATTACATTGAATAAATTACAAATTAAATTATTTTAAAACATACAACTCCAAAGAATCACAAAGTTGCCGGGCTCATTTAGACCATGGAGTTCGTGTCAATGCAGGATTTCAAAGTAATAAACCCCAGCTTTTGTTTAAAGGAGAGTTCAAATTCACTAGATCCCTTAGTAATTGACTCCCTCAATCAACTGCTCTTAATACTGTAGAAAATTATCCCACCATTTAATAGGAATCTGAATTCCCATAATTTTGATCATTTATTCCATGTCTTGCATTCTGATACATAGATCTTGGGTTTTCTATGTAACATCCTTCAGGTACTTCAAAAGTGCAACTGAATTTATTCCCTCCCACTCACACAGTATATTTTCTTCTCTCTATTTCCATTTCGCCTCTTAAGGCTCATTTTCTGATTTCTTGATTATCTTCACTACATTTCTCTGTATCTCTTCCATGTTCTTTGAATTTGTCTGACACCTGGGCACAAGGGAGATACTCAAGATGGAATCTGGTCAACACAGAATATATTGGACCATTTTTTTCCTGAAATGAAAACTAGACTTTTAGGAATGCAACATGAAATTACATTTGTCTTTTTAGCAACTGCATCACACTGATGATGCATATTCAGCTTGTGCTCAATTACAATTTGAACTTCATATAAATCTGTATTATATAACAGCCATTTATTTTTGAAAACAATTTAAAATGTAAGTAAATACAAGTACAGTGGTATCTCGGTTCTCATTGTTAGTTGGTTTTGAGAGGTACAATGAGTACTAAAAATGATGAGTGCCAAACCACTCCCATGACTTACCACATGATCCTTTATTTCAGCCAGGAAGGACTTTTCTCTCTGTCCCTTTTCCTATGTCAGTGATATTCCCAACATAACAGACTTCCTGTTTGCTCTCTGTGGCCATCCCTCTCTTCCTTTTGCAGCAACCTTCCCAGCATGGGTGATTTCCTATCCCCCCCTCTGTGACTCTCCTTCTTTTCCTATCACAGTGCATTGAGTACCAAACAAACGATATGCAATATACTGGGACATTTTCATGTCAAAATGTATTGAGTACCAAATTCAATGAGTTTTGAAACAGTCAAGTCCTGAGGTACCATTGTAGTCCTCAACTTACGACCATTTGTCTAGCAACTGTTCAAAGTGCTGACAAAAGTGACTAATATCTGGTCCTCAAACTTATGACCATTGCAGCATCCCTATGGTCACATGATCATGATTTGAGAGTTTGGCAACTGGTATGTATTTAACAACAGTTGCAGTATCCCAAGGTCATGTGATTACCATTTGTGACCTTCCCAGCCAGTTCTGACAAGCAACGTTAGAAATCTGGGGGAAGCCAGACTCACATAACAACTCTGGCAACAGTCATAAAATCAGGAACAGTCATGTAATGATTCATGTAATGATGGACATTCCAGTACAGGAGCTCTATTCAGGATATGTAAGTTTATTTAGCCTGCTTTTACTAATACCATATATTATATGTAGTACATAATGTTTTGTTCACCAATGGACAGTCTGCAAGTTCCTGCTTCAATTAACAAAGGCTAGAAGTGCTACACGATTGTACAAAAAATGTGTCTGAATTTGGGGTACTAAATATTCCATGTTTTCTAATATTTTTATACAGAATCAATGAAAGCAAATCAAATCTTACAATTTCATAATAGTGCCTGATCTATAAAGGACAAGTTTTAATTTTTAAATAAATACAAATTCTTTCCTTTTCCCTTCCTGTCTAAGAGTTATGAAGATAACAGCCATTACCATCAAGTTATTCAAAGGAGAACTGGCTTTTAAAAGTGCTTGACACTCCTTAATAAATAACAATGTTTATCAGTTTTAAAAGTCAACTTCCATACATTTTATGCATTCTTTAAAATATGAGGCTGTGCATCTGAAATAAAGTGATGGGTTACCTTGTGCAAAATCATATATATATGCAATATACGTAAGCAATATAATCTTTAAGTTTATATAATTATATTTTATATAATTCTTTCAACTTACATAATTTATACACAATACATAAAGTCCAAGTGACATATTTCATTTTAAGTCTATGTACCAGAACAATAATTAAATTAATTCATTGTGTTCATTTGAAAAATGATTCTATAGTGCACCTAGTATTGCCTGATTTGACTTTTTTGGATGTTGACTGGGGAATTATTGTTCCAGATCTGAAAAAGAAAAAACCCCATGTATTACTAGTTAAACAGCCACAACAACAAAATGTTTTGACTTTAATATATTCTAAATATTCAAAAATTCAATTAATACTCGCTCAGAGCTTACCTTTTGGTTCCTGCTGAAAAGTTTGTATTATATTGTCCTCTATCTAAGATTTCTGGAAAAAATATTTAAAATTTTTAAACTGAAAGCAAAAATGTATTCCAGTAGAATTATGATTAACAAATGGGAATTAACAAAAACATCTACTATTGTTTTCTTCTCCTTCTCCACTGAAACAGTTCATAAACTCTTATATAAACCATGACTTTTCTATAGCTATTTTGTTCTTTCCCCCAATTTATATCATTTTTGCTTGGGAAGGAAAAATAAATATTTGACCTTTTAACAATTATGGAGATAGTCTATACTTCCAATGACAAGTGACAAATGAGCTATAGGACAGACTGTTGCACAGCTCCTGCATAATCTCTGTATGACAAGAGTCCAGCAATGTTTATGCTTCTTGCATTTAAAAACTAAATTGTTACAATTTACAAAATAACTTTTATTTTTCTACAGAAAGAAACATCAGCCTCTTTCTACACAAAATGAAGAAGCAGTCAACTCCTTTATAGAAACCTCATATAAATTTGCATTCGGAACTTCATTTAACGTTCCAAAAATAGGAGTTTAAAAACTTTTATTTAAATGATTGGTAAAATACTCACCATGACCTGATTTTTCTGTCAACTGTTCAATGATGCCTTTGTTCAAACAAACATCCACGTGCCTATTGAACAAGGTGAGATCCTTTGTTTTTTGTTCTGTGTTGCAAACTGGACAAACAAAAACATTTTCAGTAATGCCAGAAAAACTTTGCAAATTACTTCCTGAGCAATTTGATTCTTCTTTATCTATTAACAAGGCTCCAGAAGATAAATCATCTTTAGCATGCATTTCAGATACCGAAGCATTAGAAGGACCGCATCCATTGTCATCCTGTTTATGAACTAGGCACTTAGGCAAAACATCTTTGCCACTTGCAGAATCACAATCAGGTATATTTATTGACTGCTCATTCACTGGTGGTTTACTTATTTTAGCTTTTATCTCTTCTTTTTCCCCCACATCCACAGGAGGATCATTTTTCCATGATTTGCTATTATCTGTAATTTCTGCATTTTCTTTTTCTTTTGTTCCCCTAAGGCACATATCAATATGTCTATTAAATGTTTCTAAAGTGCTATCTTGCTGCTCTTCAAAGCAAATAGGGCAAATAAAGATCTGATGTTCATCATCCTTTCTTTGTTCTCCTGAAGTTATTGTTGACATTGTATCTGGTAGACTCTTCTTGTTTGAAGATTCATTTAAAAATATCCCTTGATTGGTTTGCTCTCTTGTAGCTCTCTTTTTATTGAAAAAGCTTTCTCCTTCAGATACTTTTGGGAAAATGTTGACAGCTTTCTTAAAAGCACAGGCTTGTTTTCCTGGTCCTAAGAAATTAACAATGCTCTTCTGATGGTATTTTTTTTCTTCTTCAGTTAAAAAACCTGATACTCTTATACCTGAATATGACAGACAAGGCACAAAAAGGTAAGTGTTTAAAAATATAATCAAAACAACAAATGCTGAATTGCATAGACATACATAGGAATGCATAATAAGGTTACTTAATTCCTACTTAAATCAATTCAAATTTAGACATGAGTCAACTAACTTCTGCCTACAATTCTCTTGTGCATACTGGTTTCAATCTAGCTTTTTTAAAAAAATATTTTATTTTTTAAAAACAAAAATACAAATCTCTATTCACATTAACAGTGTTCGTGTCGTTACCTCTCCTTTTATACATATACATCAGCTCTTATTTCTATCCTCCACCCATTTATACCACCTATCCCAAACCGCATAATAGTCTGAACCATCTTTGCCTCTTAATTCCATTGTGAATTTATCCAGTTCTGCACAATCCATTATTTTTTTGTGTCAAGTCTTCTTCAGATGGTAACTTTTCCTTCTTCCATCCCTGTGCGAAGGCTATTCTCGTCGCAGTTATTATATGTATAGTGATGTATCGAATGACCTTGCTCAATTTTGGTTTCAATCTAGCTTTAACATATACAGTGGGACTGGATTTTTTTTCCACTTCACAGATCTCCTTGGAAATATCACTCAGGTCTCATCCCCTCTCCTAGTAGGCATGTTATGGCTTCTATCCATTAAGATATCTGATGAGATCAGAAAGCATGTCTTCTGTATCTTTGAAACACCATACCCCCTGAGATTCACTTGACCCTGACTCCAATGGCATTTCATAAGTCCCTGAAGATTAGGATGTTTCCTTAGGTGAACTTGTTGTATGACTGTTGATATTACTGTGAATGTATGGCCTGTGTTAAACTGTCTACAGATGTCATTGTATTATTATTGTGTTGTTATCAGGGGTGGGATTCAATTTTTTAACAACTGGTTCTGTGGCCAGGGCTTAATTGGTGGGTGTGGTTTGGTAGTCATGTGACTGGCTGGACGTGGCTTGGTGGTCATGTGACTGGGTGGGCGTGGCCAACTCAATATCACTCACATTGAGGCATGCATCTCCTCGCCTGGCCTCTCAAGACTGTGAGGATGCTGCAACAGTCGTAAGTGTGAAAAATGGTCATAAATCACTTTTTTCAGTCCATTGTAACTATGAATGATCACTCCACACAAGCAAAGTACCAGCAAAGGAGGGGAAAAAAACTCCAGAGAAGTTCCTGAGGCAGGAAGTCTAGTTCTTCCAAGAATGTAATAAGGGTTAACAGAGAGGCAGTTTCTGTAAGCAACACCAGAATGCTTCCTTTCTGCCTTCCTTACAGTATTAGCCAGTAATTTCTTCTAACAACCGGTTCTCCGAACTGCTTAGAATGTTAACAACCGGTTCTAGCGAATAGGTGTGAACTGGTAGAATCCCACCCCTGGTTGTTATTATTTTTGTTGCTGCTTTTAATCCGTTTTGTTGTCGAAGTCATGGTTGTGAGATAGTCAGCCATATAAATATATTTAAACAAGTACATAAATAACTTGGTCAAACAACCTTGCCTTCCTATGATTCCCCACTGCACAACCCACCCCGAGAAGAATCATGGTGGGGATGGGGACAAAGTTTCACATGCTTAAATACATGAAGCACCAAATATTCTTTTGATGATTGGAAAGTGTTAAGAATCTGTTTTTTGAAGGGGACAATAGAGCAACCATATTTTAAACATATATTCTAACAATTAATAATGAAGAAATTTTGATTTGAGGAATTTTCAATAACCATTTAATTGTAAACGTATTATAGAAGTATATAAGAACAAAGTTTAACAGCAACTGCATATAGATCAAAATTTTCATTTTGCTCAAATAACTAGCAATAACTGATATAATTGTACAAGCCAGTACTCAGCATAATTATATGAAATGATATTTACCCATTAATCTTAAACGTAAAGGTTCTGGGGCCACAATCTCCATTTCTGATTTAAGCAAATCTTTAGCAATAGCAAATATTTCATCTTCAGTAGAAACTGCAGAAAGTACTGTATTAGCTCTTGTTTTCACTTCAAAGTTCACATTCTTCAATTTTAAAGTTATGGTTCTAGCCTATTAAAAACAATAGACATTTTTTCTGAAGCGGTTATGTTCTGAGAACTGTCTTGCAATAAAGGTGAAGAGGAAGATCAGCTCAAGGAAGGAAAACAGGGGACATATACTATTTTTATCAATAGGCAGTCCATTTGTAAGTACACGTTCCATCTTATATACAAATGTAAGTTAAAGACGGAATTAGGAACTGAACTCATTTTTAACCAAGTGACCACCTGCAAATCTAACAAATCATTTTCACCCTTAGCATAAATTCTATTCTATCTAAATTCCTATGACCAAGAGGAATGCAGACAAATAAAAAGTATTTCCCACCAAAACAATACACCAATAAATACAGAAGATGTGACTGCTAATAAACAGGAGAAATACAGAAGACATAAAGTTACTTACTTTAAGTCCTTCCTTTTTCAAATCCTGAGCAAGGTCACTGCAGAGTTCTTGACATAACTTGTATTGTTCTGATGCACTTATTTCATTAAACGTCCTGCCAAGAGAGAAGAAAATCTCAGGATGTTCTGTTCTTGACAGATTATCCAAGCAAGTTTAAACTAAGCAGAAAATATTTGCAAAATCTATTGAACAATACCTAGATACAAAAACAGTTCTGTAAAACCCCTGCAGCATTAAAAATGAATGTTTTAGCTTATAATACACGCTACATACTTACTACACAAAAATCTAAAACTACAATGATTTCCTGTGCCTGTTATGGTAACATATCAAAAGGAAGTTAAGCTTTGGGATAAGTTAAGCTTTGTGACTGGTAACTATATATTATCTTTATATGGACAGAGTTTTAGCTGTTTTTGTTTTTTCTACTTATAAATGCTTCTTCTACTTATGAATGTTGGGCAATGAATACACTTAATAAATAATTGAACAAACAAATAAGCTAATCCATAATTCAGGCAACCCCAAACTTTATTTGGCAAATTTTTGGCATTGTATTGGTATCTCTTGCATCATGGGGAGGGGAGAAATCACATAGTATATTTAAATGCATTCAAGAGGTGAGATGTTTACACTTGATATACTGTACTTTTGAGTACATACCTTTCGGTACTCATACTTTTTCTTTCCCAGTCCCTTAAAAAAAAGAAAGAAGGCTAAATTTCAAAGGTTAGCTCCCAACAAAGTAAGTGTCAAATTTTATGAGCAGACACATATACATCATGAAAAACAGCAATGGAAAAATAATTATTAAAAATTAGACAAAAACAGTTGTCTGAAAAACAGGGTAAAGTAAAGGTAAGAAATATTAGTAAATGTCGCCATTTTCTGTAAGTATTCAATATCACTCTGTTTTTATAAGAATGTATATCTTTTGTTAAAACATGATCGAACTGAATTTACTCAACAATCTGAAAATATTTTTCAATATTGAAAATTGAAATACCTCACTGAATATTTTTTAAAGTTACAAATATATGTGATCTATTTTAGACTTAGGGGTCTTAGGAGAGTTGAGCTAAAGCCCTAAGATTCTGTAATTTTACTGGGAATTAGAATAAAAACAAGGCTAGATTACAGGTAAGCTTGAATAGTAGTTATTATTAATTTCATGTGAAATGCAACCAATTAATAAAATATTATGAAAACAAGTAAAATAAGGATAAGTACATTTTGTATAAAATACCTTTCCAAATGTGTGGAACCCAAACCAAGAGAGATTTCAAGAAAATTATGGCTGGATGTTTCAGAAAACAGAAGAGAAATCAGAGCTCTCTGCTGGTACAGTTCTGTGCAAGTCACTATTTCCAAAGCTTTTAGCATTTTCTCTGTTACTTTTCCTATGCCTGGTACCTAAATGAGAATGAATCATACACCAGTGAAACAGGAAGTTTTAATGTGAAATCTTAATTTTAACAGTTTTAACATATACCTCTTATCATCTATTATTAATGATCACCTTGGAAACTAAGATTTTTTTTAAATAATAGAAATAATTACATAGCTTGGTAAACTGCTGCACATAACTGGTGAATTTGTTGTATTGTTCTGCACTATGAACTGAGGCATTTGATTTTTTTGCAAACTGATTTTTTGACCAGTCGTTAGAGCGATCATCAAGCAAATTACAGTGTCGTTACATGAAACATGTGGTTGTAAATCTCAATCCACCCTCCTGAATGGGCATTTTTTTGCTGGTAACTGACAGAAAAGTCACAAATCATGGTCAGGTGACTACAGGACACTGCAACAAGTTGTAAATGTGAGATGGTTACTAAATGCCCCAATGCAGTCACATGACCATAGAGAGCAGTGTAATATTTTACAGTGGCAGATATAGAAGATAAAATGTTGATAAGAAAATTAGACACCAAAAGACAGTAACTATTTCCTGAATACAATATTCATAAAAGTAGCAACACTAAATAAATCAATTTTTTTCACCTTTCTAATAGCCAAATTTTTGATGAAGTCCATCACAGCATCTCTTTCTGGAGGGATTCTATATTGGCCATTAGGTTTATTTTTATCACTGCACATTTTTGCCAACATCATGTTTGGAGCAATGCCTACAATTAAATGAAAAAAAAATCAAACAGAAACAAAAAAGAATGATCACTTTCCAGCTTCAATTACATGTTATGTAAGAGTCAAAGCAGTTTGAGATGAAAGTTGAATATAAAGAATACTTTTGTGGCAGGGTCACGGGTGCCATCAAAACATAGGCATTATGGGTACCCAACCGTGAAATGGCTCCATAATAGGTACCATTCCACAAAATGCTACTTCACGGGGAAATAAGATTAAAAATATATCACTTTTTGGTTATGCAAAGTAGAGGCTAGGTTACCAAACTGTCATAACCACATCTCATTCGGTATTCCATGTTAATATAAGGTCATAATATCAGTCAGAATATTGGATAGTTCTGTTATATTTTGGCCAGTATACCATAAGCACAACCAAGTTTTATCTCAAGTGTGTTAAAAAATGTAAGCTAGTGCCTCTAGAATAGAAAATTTCCAAGCCAACACTTTGTCACCTGCCTCTTATCAACTATGAATGTGGGTTAAATTAAAAAAATGAGTGACCAGTATGAAAGGAATAAAAGGAGTGATTTGAGGGCAGGGCTTTTCAAACTTGGCAACTTTAGGAAGTTTGTACTTCAACACAAAACACTAATATAGACAATATGAGGATTGAAACATGAAACAAATATATGCAGGAAGACTGAATGAACTGAAACAAATGGATGACTGAAATGGGATGGAGTTCTTAAGATTCTCCTAAAAGCAAAGTTCATTTGCATGGACAGAAAACATGAAGAAGAAAGAATGGTGTTAGTGTAAATCTTCCCTCTCAATTTTTTTTATTTTACTATGTCTTAATCTTGTTCAGCATTTTGCATAATTCCATCATATCTTTTTTAAGGTACAGTGGCTAGAACTGCATACAATATTCAGATGCACTCACACCACTGATTTTAATAAATGTGTTAAAATATTGGCATTTCTATTTTTAATACCATTTCTAATTATCTCTAACATGAATGAATGTATACTATGTTGACATCTTGACAAAACTGTTTATCACTACCTCAAAATCTCTTTCCTCATCAGTCATTGCTGCTCTCATCCCATTTAGTTTGCATGAATACTAAGGATTTTGAGCACCAATTGCACTTTCCTATCTAAGTTGCTTAGAGCTTTCCTATAAACTTCCATATGCTTGCTTGCCTTCTCTGCCTCAAGCTCTCAAAACTTGCTTGGTTGCCTTCTCGGTCTTAAGCTCCCATAAACTGCTTCTTTGGGAAGGATCTACCTGGACTGAAAGAAAAAATGACTGAGAAAAAAGGAAAAGAAAGAGGGAAATTGACTTCATTCGCCAAAATTCTTGATTTCTTTATCTGCAATATTATTTAACTTCATCTGAACAGACCATTGCAGACCTTTCTAGATACATTCTCTGAGCTATGTTTGGAAAATATTCAGGTTCATTATTTATTTGTTTTACATTAAAATGTGTGCTATTTAAATAGCATTAAGTCTCTCCTGAGTGTTTATCTCTTTTCATTTTAAATACTTTTATTTGGGTTAGCTCAAATCATATCCATTGACAGAATAGCAAAAGCTATAATTTCAGACCAATTCAGACTGATTTCCAGACCTCAGTTATTCCAGAAGGTAGAAAAGATGAAAACATTTAAAGAGTAATGGGTTCTTCATTGAAAGAATTTAAGCAGAGGTTGAACATCTGTCATGTAGTTGGATGACTTCCAAAGTTCCTTTCAACATTGTATTCTTTAGCTTTTTAAAGGACCATTAGTTATTAGTGTTTTCTAAGATACAGTCTTCTATAACCAGTTTTTATTTTTGTATTCACAACTCTTCTAATATGAAACAATTAAATCCTGTACAAAGGACTGCCCCCCCCCCAAAAAAAAGTAATCAGCAGTTATTTGGCCATTATATAATTGCTGGTTCCAAATTTTGCCTACAAACAATGTAGAACAAATGTCTTTCCCTTAATTATTATAGATCTTTTACTAAATATAAACAATACATTCACATCCTTTGATTACACCCAAATTATTATATTTATTCAGAAAAAAATCAAGGCTAATTCTTACTAATATCTGAGTCATTGTCACTAATTGCAGCCAGCCTCCAGATAAAAATCAAGGCAATAGATATAATTTATGTTGAAGAGAAGGTAGGTGGAAAGATTAGGTGACTAAGTAATTGAGGGAGTAAATCTTAACAATCTTTGGTTGTGGCCCAATGCAGTAGTGAATGGGAGAATATTTGAGTAATATCTATGAAAATTACATAATTTCATCTTTGTTAGTTGTGAACATAACCTTCCAGGTAAAAAGTCACCTTTCTCCCCAAAACAACATTGTAAAATAACCTGGTTAAACAACAACTTAACAGGGAGAATCAGTCTGAAAGCAATTCTGTTGTCATATACAGATGCACAAATTCTGTGAATGAGGAAGTCCAGATTCATAATTTGATGGTCAGTATTTGCACTGGGACCAAGACAATGCACATATCCAATAAGTTGTACAACCTTATATAGACAGGAGCCACATAAGTGAAATAAAATCTAGAACACACTACACATGAGAAGTAAAACATAATTATTCAGCTTTGCACATTTTGATTGGTATTAATATACACGGATAAGTATAAAGCAGCAAAGAATCACAAATACAACTCTAGTCAATCAATACGGCAGATATTTTATTAACATACTTACAGTAAATATGTACAGAGTTATTCTAGAATTGTCAGTGTTACAAACAATAAAAATGTATTTACCAGCGCTGGCAGTCATCCCAGTTTTTTGTTCAATTCTCAAACGAATTTCATTTACAACTTCCTCAGCTGATGTTTCCAAGACAACTGACTTTAACTGAACTCTTGACTGTTGGCATTGCTGTTCTTTTACGGCCAAAGATGGCTGAATAGTCTGCTTATCAATCAAAGTGTCACTGTCAAACAATACTGGTGAACAGGAATGCATATCTTCACTCAAGTTTGATTCATCAGATATAATTATATTCTGTTTTTCTAAAAAATATAAAAAATTAGAATATCGTAAGCAAACCAGTCATTTCAAATTATCTTGTAAAGCTAATAATAGCAACAGCTTTAGACCATGGGTCCCAGTATCAGGACCAGTATCAGTCCATGATATAGGCTACACACCTGGAGATGAGCGGCAGGTGAACAAGCGAAACTGTAACCCCACTCTCCCCAGTTCATGGAAAAATTGCACACCTGGAGGCGAGCAATTCACAAAACCAGTCCCTGGTGGCAAAAAGTTTGGGGACAGCTGCTTTAGACTTCAAAATCACTTATTTAGCAAGATGGTTGCATATGTTGCTTTTAAGAAAAGGCAGTATTCTCATTGTTACTGCTGCAGGGTCATCTCCCATGGAAGAAAAGAAAGAAAAAGCCATGGTGGCATAGTGGTTAGAATGCAATATTGAAGCTTAACTCTGCTGACTTAATCCCAACCAACAGTTCAATCTAAAATTACAGTAAAATAATAAGATTTTTAGGATTTTCTTAAGATGAGTAAATTAAAAAAATCCAGTTTAGGATCACAATTCTTTTCCTTGACTAAATCATTGGCCCAAGTTAACAACCAGCACTGGAAAACCTTCTCCCGTTGAAATGAGGACTCTTACCTTTAATAAGTGTTCAGAATACGTTTAAAATTCTGGATCAGTGATGGCTAACTTTTTCGTCACAGTGTGCCAAAAGTGCACACATGTGTCCACGTGTGCCTGCACCCATAATGCAATACGCACGATACCACCTGCTCCCTGCACATGCACACGTGCCCCCCGCGCATCATACCCCTCTGCGCATGCACATGCAGCTCCCCTGGTGTGCACCCTGCATGCCACTGCGAATGCACATGCAACCTCACCTCGCGTGCCCCCACCCCCCTACGCATGCATGGCAGATACCTGACAATCAGCTGGCTGGTGGGAGACATGTGTGCATGTGCAGTGGATCTATTCTGGGCAACACCTTGTGTGCCGGCGGAAATGGCTCTGTGTGCCACTTCTGGCATGTGTGCCATAGGTTCACCATTACGGTTCTAGATTAAGATCTTATCACTATCTTTTGCCTTGGCATGAAATTAATTCAAAATAAATGAAAACAAATATTAAAACTTAAAATACTAGATCACAGACATAAAAGCAACATAACATTTTATTCTGACCTGATAACTCTTGATAATTACATACCATTTAGACCAAACTTGGATGTACTGAGATGTTTTCTTTTACAGCAGTGGTTCCGTTCTTCTAAATACTCTGTTATGTTCAAGTAGGCTTCATCAAGGCCCATGGGCATGAATTGAGGATCATATTCAGCTAGTATTTCCCTAATCTTGAGAAATATAAATACAAAGTTGTGCTATTATGTTTTAAATATATACCATGCATCTAATCAGTATAGGTAGTCCTCGATTTACAACCACAATTGAGCCCAAAATTTCTGTTGTTAAGTGAGTTTTGCCCCATTTTATGATCTTTCTTGCCAGAGTTTTAAGTGAAACACTACTGCTGATAAATTAGTAACCTGGTGAATTTGGATTCTCCATTGACTTTGCTTGTGAAAAGGTTGCAAAAGGTTAATTACATGACCATGGGACACAGTAATGGTCATAAGTATGAACCAGTTGCCAAGCATCTGAATTTTGATCCCATCAGGATGCTGCTAAGTGTGAAAAATTGTCATGTCACTTTTTTGACTTATACTTGACCTTTCTTTGAAAGGTCACTTAATGAACTACCTATATCGGTACCGTATCATTTGGTATACATCATGAATCAATCATACATCAGGGAGGAAGGTCAATCATTAATTAGCATTTTTGATTCCACTCCCTGCTAACTATAACATCTTGATCAAATTTCACTGAAGGCATGCTATTAACAAGAAAAACTTGTTCTTAATGTAATAAAATGAGGGAATCTAATAAAAATGGTTAGTTAAATTGTTTTAAGACAAAAATGTCTCCCTATAAAGACATTCAAACTGGCTGCTTTCAGGGATGGGTATCTCACTTTATTTTGTCTCACCTTTTAACAGCATGTAATAAAACAAACTGTATTTCTTAATAATGCTAAAGATACACTGTGGGAATGGATACTCCTGATTCAGTGCTACAAAGATATGAACACAATTTTTATGAGATGTCAGAACCATGAACCATAATAAACTTGATGTCAGAGTGAACACTGACTGGCATTGTTTTGCGTATCAGCATACAGGACACGAATCCTATGTCACTTCAAATCAGAGTGTCAAACTTTCTGCAGGTAAGAAATTTGTAGCAGTGATGATGTAGCCATTACTATTAACAGAAGGGGACTTAACTCAGCGCTAAGACACGTTCCCCAAAATGACAGAATGATCTCAGTCTGAATGCAGAGCAAAACAATAATATTACAGTGGCTCCACACTATGCTTCAATCACACATGAACAGAAAGTATAATTATTCTCTGGAAACCGGCAACAACTTGTTAGCATAATGCAAAATACAAAAAAAAAATACATCCAACCACATAATTTATGAATTATGGGAAACAAAGCTAATAGTATATGGAATAATGGGAAAAGTGCAACATAATTTTTAATTTCAGGTGAACTGTAGACAAATTAAAATAATTAAACTAATATGCATTCAGCTATGCAAATGAATCACATACCTGTTTACTTACTTCTTCATATTTCTTAAAGTTTAATGGTACTATAATAAGATGTGGACAAAGTTTCTTTGCAATAAATCCAGGCATAGCTGCACGTACCCCATATCTTCTAGCATGGTAATTTGAAGTGGACTTTAAAAAGACAAAACCATGATTTTTTAAAAAAAAAAGCTTTTTAAAATGGATTCTATTACAACTAGATTATAAAGCTGTTAGGAAAACATAACAATCATCAATTCAAGTACTACTTAAACATGGAAATTCGCTTCTACTGTGAAATCAACTCTGATTAGAAAACCATTCCATTTTAAAGATTATGTTTTAAGGGTGGGGGGGATTGATGATGTGATTGAAGGGATGCTCATCATATTTGCAAATTACACCAAGCTGTGTGGAATTGCTAAAACGTCGGAAAACAGACTCACGATTTAGAAGGATCTTGTCAGACTTGCGCATTGGGCCCTATCCCAATGGCAAGATGCAGTGGTAAAGAAAGTAAGGTCATGCACTTAGGCAGGAAAAACCAAATACACCGGTACAGAATAGGCAGCACCTGGTTCAACAAGAAAAGGTGTCAAGAAAAGGATCTAAGTGTCCTGGTGGGCTACCACTTGAATATGAGCCAGCAGAGTGTGCTGCAGCTACAAAAAAGGCAATATAGTCCAAAACTGCTATTTGCATCCACTTCTGGTCACAATACAAAAAAGATGCTGTGATCCTGGAAAGAGTACACAGAAGAGCAACAAAGATAAGGGGTCTGAAGGCTAAATCGTATGATGAATGGCTAAGGGAACTAGGTATATTTAAGCTAACAAACAAACAGAAGGCTGAAGAGTGACATCATAACTATATTCCAATATTTGAAGGGCTGTCCCGGGGAAGAGGGGGTCAATTTATTCTCCATAGCCCCTGAGGTCAGGACAAGAAGCAATGGGTAGAAGCCTATTAAAGGGAGATCCAAGATGGATCTAAGGAGGAATTTCCTGACAGTGAGAACAATTCATTTATGAATTTAGGCAATTCAATTTGCCTCCTGGAGTTATGGATGTTCCATTACTGGGGGTTTTCAATAAAAGATTAGACAATCATTTGTTTGGGATGGTATAAGGATTTGTGCCTTGGGCAGGGGGTTGGACTAGATCACTAGAAGATTTTCCAGATCCCTTCAAGCCATATGGTTCTATGATTTAAGGAAGATTTGACGATTTCAAGAATAGTGCCCATTTTCAGAAAGGTAAATTGTATACTGCTGGCTCCTGGAGATAATGGAGGGATTCTGCGTGGCTGGCTGGGAAGCAGGTTGAATGTTAGGTTTGTTTAGGTTAATTAGATAGGTTGAAAGAGTCCTGGACTGTGGCAGCTTTCCACACAGGAAAGCTGTAGGACTGGACCCAGCCAAGAGGTTTCCTTCCATCCCTTCTGCTTGCAATCTTCGCTGCGGGCTTCCCCACTGACTTTCTGGGGAAGCAGGCAGAGAAGATTGCAAATAACAATGATTTGTAAGGGTACTTAGCAACTGGTCATTAAGTGCAAAGTTGCCAAGGGGCTCGAAATGTGGTCATGTGACAACAGCAGAGCATGCAACATTTTACAAAGGATAGAAATGTTTGATGAGCTATAAAGTACCTTTTCCAAGGCCACTGTAATTACGAATGGTTATTAAATCACCGGTCATAAATCGAGAACCATGTAACTGATTTATCACCATCTCTTACATTATAACATATACTTTTCACCCCATACTTCAATCTCTTACTAAAAACAAAATCCAAAAATCTCATCATTTGTTTCTTATCCGCAGCAGTTCAGTAAGGGATGCTAGATTTTATCTACCTTGATTATTTCTCAACAAGTTGTTCAAGACTTTAATAGATGAGTTTCGTTCATCCAGGAAAAAAGAAGTGATCAAGATAGATAACATTTGATTTAGTAGTTATACATCTCTTTTAGGCAATGAAGCATCAGCCAATATCAGGCCCAGGGAACCAAGAAAGACACATAGTGATTCTTCCAAGCTGAGTTCTTCATTATTCCACACGTACAGACAGAATCTTCCCAAACTAGAGCATTCTAAGATCTGCATCTATCATATACTCCAAGAACTATTAGGAAAGGTCTGTCTTCACACTCTTTCCCCAAAAAATATCTGGACTGAGCTGCCTTTTATTCCTCTGAAATGCAACCCCTCCTTTCTGGGAATTCAGACTATTACATTCCATCATAACTACCGTGTTTCTCAGAAAATAAGGCTGGGCCTTTTTTGTTTACCTCCGAAGAAATGGCTAGACCATCTTTTCGAGGGTGTATTAATTTTCCCCCCACATGCCTCGCCTAGCCACCAGGCCATTTCTTTAGTGGCCAAAGGGAGCACCCCACACGCAGCCTCACTTAGCCTAGGAATCCAGCCTTGAGTCCTTCTCCTTGTTCCAGGAACGCATCTAGTTCTATTTATTTTTTTGCAGGAAAATCTTAACACCAAAGTCTCCCAACTCCTTGGTGCGTTTTAGTCTACCGATGCCCCACAGCTCTGTTTCTCCTCCGGATCACCAGTCCACTTTCTCTGGCAAGGGTACCACAAAACGTGCTGCTTCGGTCGGGCGGCCCAGGGGCTCTTGAGCAGGAAAGACGGGCTGCACCAAGAGGCTGATGCCTCTGCTTTCCCATCTATGCAAAGGGCACCAGCTCCCCCCTTCCCCGCCACAGTGCTGGCAAGAGTGTGGGAGCTGACCTTAAAATGGACTCCATCCGCGTCCACTCGGGCAGCCAGAGCAGGGCTCGGAAGAGACGCCTCTGGCACAACTGCAAAGGAGCAAGCTGCCCAGCCTGCTGCTGGTGCACTGCCCTTTGACCAATGCTCCATTTTGGGCACGAGCAGGCGCAGCAGCAGCCCAGCCCATGGGCCCCACCCCTCTCGGGGACTTGTCCCCCTCGGCCTGGCTTCCAGCGCCAGCGCCAGCTGCTCTTACCTTACGTGGCGGCAGTGCCTCCTCCCGCTGGCCGTGCCTTGCAGGCCGAAAGCACAGCCCCACATAAGGTAAGCAAGCCCTACAGCGCCAAAGCAGGGGCTGCGCACTTTCGGCCTGCAAGGCTTCAAAACTTTGAAGCAAACTAATACAAAGGAACATCTCAAAGGCTGAGAAAATAACTGTATGAGGTGATTTGAACACATATGAAAATTATATTTTGCTAATCAATATTTTGATTATGACTGCTTCACAACGAAATTTTTGAATGTGTTGTGCTATAAAACCACATTAGAAATATTGTAGTATTAATTACAGTCATCTCAGTGTGAAAGTAGGCAACAATATGGATTTATATTTTAATTAATCTTAATGTTTGGAAGGCAAAAATGGCAAAGAATCTAAACAGCAGAAAAGGGGTCAGTGATCATTCAGTTTCAGAGATTTTGTAAAGAAATACCACTTTGTGAAGCCTTTTGTGATGAGATAGTTATTTAGGGTAATATTCATTTATACAAAAGCTTGATTTCAGTGAAAACACATTGGAAATGTTTAAGAACTGTGACGAGCCACCAAAAGTTTCTATCGAAAGAAAAATGAGAGGCAGCAATATATTTTCTGTCTTGTATCCCTAAGCATATTTTTGTATCGCAAAGGAGATCCCAGCTCTTCGGAGTGAATTATTAAAATGCTCTGGGATTGCAGAGGTTGAGAATGGTAAGAGAAGATAAACTTGGTTGAGGGAAACATTGTTCAAACCATAATGAATTATACCAAAATGGTAAGCACTTGTCCTTTATTTTGTTGCTTCAGTTCCTCCTCTATACAATACTTTACTTTTCTTATAATGAAGACCAAGTCAGAATATACTTTTCATTTGAGTTGCTTGTAGTTTGTGATGGAGTACAGGTGCTCCTCATTTAATGACCAGTAGTTCAGCACCCATACAAACTTATGATGGCACTGAACAGGTGTAGTTCCAACTGGACCTCATACTAGCAGACATCAGTTTCCCTGCAGTTACAATTTGCAGCCTTCCCTACTGGCTTTCTACAAGCAAAGTCAATGGGAAAGCCAGTAGGAAATCGCAGTCATGTGAGGCCCTCACATAATGCCCACATGGTCCTCGTTTAATAATGGCAACTTAAACTGCAATTGCTAAGCCGTGGCGTATCACGTTTTTTTTATTGATGACCACGTCTCTTAATGTCAGAGTTTATGGTCCCAATTTGCAACTTTAAATCAAAACTACCTGTATATACTCTTCATGCAAATATCAAATATTCAATTCCCAGCTCTTTAGGGAGGATAGGGAAATCTCCCAGGAAACTGCTGATCAGCATCAATAGTTCTAGGGTTACACTAGAGTCACACAAAACATATTTGTGCTACCATGTTGTAAGTTAAACCAAAGAACTATTTATCTAAAACCATAGCACCAAGCCATGAACAAGAACAGGAAAAGCAGAATATTAATCTAAACAAATATTTGTACAGTCCTTGCAAAAATAGTTTTTATTTTGCTTCCCTTATTATCACACATTTAGAAACAAGGAGCTTGTATACAATGAAAAATCATGTTTGTGTTTTCTGTGCAAGTGTGTAAATAGCGTATTTCTTCTTACCAGCATACTCAGTGAACCCACTGCTATGGGCTTATCCCTTAATTCAGGATTGTCTCTCATTTCTACAGCTGCATAAAAGGCATCCATGTCAATGTGTACAATAGTACAACTAAGGTCACGATTCTGATCCAATTCAATTGCAAGTTTATCCATCTGTTTATAAATAGATATACAAAACTGAATAAAGACAGACTCTCTTACTCAGAGTTGGATAAGTTTATAAAAATAACTAGAAATTACTTCAGAATTGTTTCATAAAGTATATACATACACACAGTATCAACACTGTTACATGGTCCCTTTTATTACTTCAAAGTCTTCTGTGCAATAATGTGGAATAATTTGGACAATAATTTTTAATTTGTATCCTAGGTAACATAAATTGTCACATGAACCAACCATTATACAGTATGCATCATTTCAAAGAGGCTCCAAAATGATTTGCTGTGGCATGAGAAAGTGACATGTTTAATGCAGTAATTATGCTGTGATTATCTTTATGGCTCTCCCATTTAATTTGTTTAATGTCCGCAATGCTGTTCTTTGTATGTGAGTAAACAAGAAATACGTGTAACTCACATGAAGCTCTACTATAATCACAATTAACTGCTGCCAAGCTTTTTTTCTAAGAGCTTTCTATGTTTTGAAATAATTGTAACTGATGAAAAATACATGCTTTTCCCTCACTGATGTAGAAACATCCAACATTTAATTTTAAAACAATGTAACATTTTTATATACATAGGATACTAGTAAAACCTACCATAATCATGCAACTTTGAGAAACTGCCCACATAAATTTACTTCTTGGAAACACTGGGGGTGTATTTAAAACTAAGACCATGGTTTTGTGAATAAAGATTATCTATATATTATCTATTATATAGAAATGTAATAGCTTATTCTGGGGCTTTAAAAGTTGACAGTCAGGAGCCCCAGAAACACTAGTTTAAGCACTACAACAGAAAGCCAGAGCTTCTAGACTTTAGACAAAGATGATTAGCAGGTTTCAGAGTAAGTCACAAACCAAAGTGACTAAAGGTAAAAGTTCCCCTCACCCATATGTGCTAGTCATTTCTGGCTCTAGGGGGTGATGCTCATCTCCGTTACAAAGCCGAAGAGCCAGAGCTGTCCGAAGACATCTCCGTGGTCATGTGGCCAGCATGACTGAATGCCGAAGGTGCACTGAACGCTGTTACCTTCCCACCAAAGTGGTCCCTATTTTTCTACTTGCATTTTTACATGCTTTCAAACTGCTAGGTTGGCAGAAGCTGGGACAAATAACAGGAACTCACTCTGTTATGTGGCGCTAGGGATTTGAACCGCCAAACTGTTGATCTTTCTGATTGACAAGTTCAGCATCTTAGCCTCTGAGCCACCGCGTCCCTTACTTTGTGACTTACATTGATTTAAATAGCAAGCTTTACATTAAAGGTTATTTTAACAGCATGCTAATGTGAGGCTGACATCATGGACTTCCTTTATATTCTAAGCCCTATGATATACAGTACTAGTTATTTCAGATTAAATCAAACAAACCTACGCAAAATGGAGTTGTTAAATGGAATAAACTTTCCATCTTTTTTCTTACCTGGCTGATCTTTTTAAGATTCTTAATGAAATTACCTGCAATTGTGCTTTCAAAATCTGTTGATCTGTGATTTTACTTTTTAGTTTCAGCATTTTTTCAATCCGTTTATTAACTTGTTGGTCTTTCTTAAGTTCATTTTCATAAAATCTAGAACCCTGCCAAAGAGATTAAAAATATTTAAGCCTGTTACTTATCAATTTAATTATATTTAAGTTGTGAAGGTTATTAGAAGAGCACCTACAAAGGACTTTGATCTCCAAATTTGTTATATTCACTAGTAAAGAGGCATTCCTTAGAGCCTGGAAGAAAATAGGAATCACCAAATAACAAAATTAAATAGGTACACTGAACTGTGTCAGAATGTACCATATTTTTCGCACTATAAGATGCACATGACCATAAGACACATCTAGGCTTAGAGGAGGAAAACAAGAAAAAAAATCAGTCAGAGCCTGAGAGGACCACAGATAGGTGTCCTCTCATGTGCCAGCTCTGCCTATTGACTCCTGCACTGCGGAAGAGATAGAAGAGACAGGCAATGACAAAGACAGAAGAGGCAGGGTTCAGTACTATAAAAGGACCTCGCCACCGCAACCTGGCTGCTATTCACCAAAGGACCAGCACCGATGCACAGACATTTCCACCCACTTTGGGGGGGTCGGGTGCATCTTATGGAGCAAAAAATATAGTATATATTTAGACATATAAATATTTTGTGCAATATTTTGGTTAATACATTTCATACCTAATAAAAAAGATAAAAGAATATAAACAAATAAAAGACCGCAGAAGAATCAATTATTAAATGAATTAGACCTGTACCTTCAGGAGAATATATATGTACCAATATTTAGGTATTGACCAGAAGATTGCAGTCTTAAAGCAGTTATTTAAACTGTCCCACTGATTCTGAATGATACTGAAATACACTATTATTAGTTGTGTCTAAAGTTGGCTGAGCACAAAGATTAAAATATGACTGTTCTTGGATACAAGCTTACCGCTACAGTGAAAAAGATAAGATATGAAGCAAACTCATGTAGGTATGTGCAGTAACTTTATAGATTTAATTTTAATATTAATTGTAATGACATCTATTACCTATATCATGATAATAGATAACCTACATTTTTTTACTGAACAAAACCAGTGTGAATAACTACATTTGTTCACTTTTTAAAAACTGATACAAACAAACCTTGGAGGCTTCCATTATGATTTTGTTGATCTTCTCTTTATCCAGCCCTTGCATTCCAGCTTTGTTATCATTAAGACCCATCCTAAGAAGTAACCCTTCTCTGGAAGAAGCATTATCTTGGTTTGCATTTTCCATTGTACAACACCAAGCAAACAGTTTATCAGTTATTACCCTGAAAAAGAAAAACTGCATAGTTTTAGAGTCTATTGCTGATAGTCTCACATCATTAACGTAACACAACGTAACACATGAACCCAACAATGTGACATTATTTTTTTATAACAGAAATAAATTCAGATGAGAACCTGAGAAAAGTGTGCATATACCTTATTTTCATTTATTATCTCTTATTAATTTATCTTAGTAGTTGCAATATCATTTGCCAAACTAGTGGAAAGTAGTAATATTTTTGGTTAAATTATCTTCAGATAGATAAGAAGCCAGCAGCATTAGGAGGCTTTAGAATTCTCTCTTATAACTAGGTGGTTTAATGTTGGTATTTTTTTGTTGTTTTAAATATATATATATATATATATAATAAATACATTTATAATGATTTGTACAAAATAAAAACAACAATAAAAGGACATAGAAAGAACCAGTATCAACACAATATGAATAGATTAACTTTAGTCATGAATAGAAGCTAAATGATCTTGGGCTAGTCACACACACTCCCACCTCACAGAGTTGATGTGGGGAAATAGGAAGCATACATGTTGGATATGTTCACTGCCTTGAGTTATTGTAAAAATAAAGGTGGGATACAAATAAATAAAAATTTGGCATCACTATATATATTTCTAAATATTTACAATTACATTTCAACAAAAACTACTTCATGTCTATTGTGTCTGTGGGGTATTTTTTGGGAAAGATGGATTCATCTAATTGAAATGCAATACCCAAAATATAATACAGGCAGTCCTTGACTTACAACAGTTCATTTACTGACATTCAAAGTTACAACAGCATTGAAAAATGTTTACTTATGACCGTTTTTCAGTTATGACCTTTGCAGCATCCCAATGATCATGTGATCAAAATTCAGATGCTTGGCAACTGGTTCATACTTATGACTGTTGCTATGTCCCAGGGTCATGTAATCATCTTTTCTGATTTTCTGACAAGCAGAGTCAATGGGGAAGCCAAATTCACCAGGTTACTAATTTATCAACTGCAGTGATTCACTTAACAGCTGTGGCAAGTAAGGTTGTAAAATGGAGCAAAACTCACTTAACCAATGTCTCACTTAACAATAGAAATTTTGAGCTCAATTGTGGTTTTAAGTCACGGACTACCTATATTAACATATGGCCACTTGGTGTCTTTTGGACAGAAATTATTTCAAACAGGAAATATAGGAAATATATAGGCATAATACTACTAATACAAAATACTACTAATTCTCTGGTACACAATAATCTGGATAATCTCTAAATTTGAAAAAAAAGTCAGTCAGTCTTATTTGGGCGTATTTTTAGACAGCTAGACTGCAAAATTAATTTGTATAATTGATTTCATACTTTTTATCATAAAGCAAAATGACTTAAATGATAGTTTACTGGTAGTCCTCATTTAGCAACCACGCTTGGAACCAGCAACTTGATTGTTAAGGAAAATAATTGCTAAGTTATGGTTAGTTATTATTTCCTATTATTTATTCTGCTGAATTATTTTATTTTTCAGATACATTATATTCTTCACAATGATCTTTTCTTAAGGATTCTAAGAAGCTGTAATGAAAGAGGTTTTATCCCATTATACCAGGGGTGTCAACTTGGGCCGCATCAGGGTTGTGTTTGACCTCAGGAGGCTGGGTGGCCTTGGCCAGGGTGGGGGTCGCCAGCTCAACGTCACTCGTGTCAGGGGCACCTGTGGTGGCCCAACTGCTCTGCCAGTGAAAACTGAGCTTGGGAGGGGCCCTCCCGAGCTCTGTTTTCATTGGCAAAGGCACCGCAGGCCAGTCCTTCGCTGTTTCTAGGGTGGCTCCACCAGCCAGCTCTAAGCACCCTGTGGGCTGCATCTGGCCCACAGGCCTTCAGTTTGACACCCCTGCACTATACAAAGACTAACTATTCCAAGAATTTAGGCATGAGTCCACAAGCACCTCATACTGTATAATCCTCTTGTATTATTGGATCTTTTCTTTCCATCACTGGATTGCAATTTAGAAGACTCATGTTAGAACAAAAACTATTTTTTTTTTAGTTTTGTTAGTTTCAACCTCCTGCTGCTTCTAGAGATACAGAAGAAATATGTTGTGATTAGCTTACCTGTGTTAAAAGATTTACAAAGCTTGCTTTATCTTAGGCCTTAACTTACTGTAATAATTTTGTAACCATTTTTAGTGCAATCATACCTGTGACTTGGTTAAGCAGAAATCCCAACAACAATTTGCATTAAATAGTCCAAAACTTTAACTATGCTTCAGACTGACATTCATCAGGGCTAGTGTTTTTCAGTCATGACAGTTCATTTTTACTGCATCACAGCTGACACCACTTGGAATTAGACCCCTTTGAAGACATGAAAAATAAAGTTAAGTTCATGTCTGGCAATAACGAAATAAATGAATGTTCTGCTATAAGGAACAATGAAGTTTAAAGGACTGTTGGAATAAGATGACTATAAGAAAGCATCAAGAACAATGCAATTGGAATTTGAGAGCCTAGAAATAGCCATAGCAATCACCTGCTTTTTGAACAACTGTGAGTCCAGGGAGAGCCCCAAATTGCACACCAACACTGATCGTAAAAGTGCATACAGGTAGTCCTCGACTTATAACAGTTCCTTTAGTGGGCATTCAAAATTATGACATCACTGACAAAAGCGACTTATGACCTTTTTTCACAGTTCAAACTTTGCAGCAGCCCCGTGATCATGTGATCGAAATTCAGATGTTTGACAATTGGTTCATATTTATGACCATTGCTGTGTCACAAGGTCATGTGATCCCCTTTTATGACCTTCTGACAAGCAAAGTCAATGGGAAAGCCAGGTTCACTTAATAACTGGGTTACTAGGTACAGCGATTCACCTAACAACTGAGCCAAGAAAGTCGTACAATGGGGCAAAACTCACTTAACAAGATAAACATTGGACTCAATTGTGGTTGTAAATCAAGGCAAGAGTTACTGATAGAAAAATCTCCAAATCAAAACAAAACCTTTATTATTCTCAGTGACCATCAAAATCTTCAGAGCCACGAGGCCTTAAAACCGCCAGCCACTAACTAGTCTTGCCATGATTGAACTAAAGCCTGTTCTCTCTTATCCAAACCCCCATCGTCTCTGGGCACCGGGAAAGGTCCTAATGGCATCACTTTTTTTGGCCTAGGGGAATATGACCAACTATCATCAATGATGTGATATTGCAGCCATGTCATCTGATTATTTCATCTATTATTTTATCAGCTTCATGTAGATGTTAAAGAAGAGTGAGGACAGGGGAGAGTCTTAAGGCAGAACCACCTCCAGGGAAAGGAGGAAAATCAGTCTAGTGCTATATTTTCTACTCTCAATTCCTGAAATGGCCCAGAAAAATATCACGATCAACGGCATTGGAGGCTGCTGGCTAATTGTATTAAGTCTTCAGTAATGTTTATTTGCAGTTATACAGTAGATAAGAACATTTCAAATATAATAAACACATAAATCTTTAAAAGTATGCAGATTTTGTCCTACATAATCTTTTAAGCTTGTTAACTGAAACTAATGCTATTGACTTTGAAACTCTAACATAAACAATATTGCTGCAGTTGGAAATATTTTTTTCTTTGTGGCCAAAGCTATTGGAGCATTGTTCCATGATGGATTGCAGTTTTCAGAGAAACTGCACCATCTCCTGAAACTTAATTTAACTCATCCAACTTGTTTTCTACCTACCTCACCAATTCCCTAAAGGGAGGAATGAACACTTTCAAACCAACTTGCCAATACCTTTAAGGGGTTTATCAAATGCAGCCAGGCATAGAATTGATATTTTAGGCAATTGCTGAAGCACTGACAAAACCGAGATCAATAAGGAAGAAAGAGACGGAAAAGGATAGGCTGTTGCAAGGGATAAAAGTGATTGAAGATAATTGCAAAAGCACAAAAAATATAATTGATATTTACTTCCTCAAAATCTGTAGTCAAACCATATCACATTAGTTCTTATTCCTAAAACAATAAGATATTTTTTTCTTTTCTTTTTTTTTAAACATATAAATAAGTACTACTTTGCTGGAATGAAATCAAGAGCTGATATAGTTCCTACTATATGGTGCTGCCTAGATCCTGTGTATGCACAGATGGGGCTTCATTCACTTGCATGGCTCAGTTCCTGGCAAGCCGCAGACCAGTACCAGTCCACAGCCCAGCAGTTTGGAAAAATTACTCATATATGACATGATACGGTATGGCTGTAGGAAGCATTTAAAGGATCTATTTCACAGAGCACACTAGTTGATTGAACCACCCTTCCTGACATCTTAAAGCAACCAAATACATCTACTTCCATTAGGATTAGCTGCTACATATACATGCAATTTTTTTTGAATCAGCCAATGAATCCTTTAAATAATGTTGCATCAACTCTTCAAGATGATTTACAAATAGTCCTCAATTTATGACAATTGAGCCCATATTTTCTGTTGCTAAGCAAGACAGTTGTTAAACTGAGTTTTGTATCATTTTACAACCTTTCTTAAGTGAATCACTATAATTGTTAAGTGAATCTAGCTTCCCCATTGATTTTGCTTGTCAGATCACAAAATGGGATCACATGGCACCAGGATACCGCAACCATCATAAATATGAACCAGTTGCCAAGGATCTGAATTTTGATCATGTGACCATGGGGATCCTTGCAATGATGTGAAAAATGTTATAAATCACTTTTTTCACTGGCATTGTAACTTTGAACAGTCACTAAATGAACTGTTGTAAGTTGAGGACTATCTGTACTTAAAACCTCCAATGAATTCTGGAAAGTATCTCTCTGAAATTTTTTTCACAGGCTCTGTGGTTACAGAGCTATACAGCCTCAACTGTATTGTGCTTTTGCAAATCTTAAAATTCTTTCAACAGGCCTGAGGCGTGAGTTGTGTTATTGGTAATAGATCGTTTTTATTATCATGATCAATGTATTGTTGGTTTTAGTCTGCTTATTTTTTATCTTATGGTTCTTAATATAAACTGCCTAGAATTGCCTGTGTTTGAGGAGGCATACATGTTGATTAAATACAGGCCACAGCTGAAAACTGCTGAAAATTGGAGGTCTTCAGAGTACTTTTATTTGGCTCTAACAAGCCCAACAAGATTTGGAGAGAAAAAAGCTTAGATTTTCACATATTTCACAGGGGTTACAATTTCATTGCAGTAAGTTTTGGATGTTGTGCCTGGCAGTACCAGTCACATAAGCCTTGTGCTTTATCCGTAACACACTGATGACAAAGTATTTGTGAAAAGACAGCTTCTGCAACAAGAGGCATTATATATCGTTACTCTCCATTAACCATCTGTGCTATGCACCAAAGTTACTAATAGAATCTTAAACTATAGATCAAAAGAATTTTTGATTTCTATTTAATAACAGGAACCAAATATATTTTATCAAAATAATGTTTATGGTAATAAAGACAGAGTTGGGGTTAAAGAACTAGGTTTCAATTCTAAACATACCGTGTTTCTCCAAGATTCCATTTTATGATAAATTCTATAATCTGAAGTATGTTCAACCCTGCCTTATCCATGCATAAAAAAGTAGCCACGGGATCAACAGATTAACCCTAAATCAGCTTCTGTGACTCGCAGTAACATTCTTTTATAGATTTCAGATGTTTTATAAGCCCTGTTAAATTCAAACGAACTTCTCCTCTTGAGTAAATTCGCATTACTTTGCAATTTTGACTCCCTCTGTTTGGATGTAGCAACACATCTAGGTTTTTTTCCTGCCCGTTTCATATATTTCCAGGAGATCTACATGCGTCCACCAAGTAATTTATCAAGTAGCAGTTTCAGTTACGAAAAAAAAGCCCTCGTCTTTTCTTCGCTTTGTGTATATGTAAGAATGGTGCAAGAATATAAATCATTCCCTTTATAAGGATGGCGTAGAAGGGGAAATCTAAAACCCATGCAAAGAAGGTTAAAAAAAAAAATCTCCCACAAAACCAGTTCTTTCCTAATGACATATAACGCATCCATAAACTCCCCAACACACCTCAGTCCCAAGAAGCTTCACCAGCCCCCGTTTCCGCAATAATTAAGTCGCACCAAGATGGCGACCAATTGTGTTTTCAAAAAAAAAAAAAGAGAGAGAGAAAAGAAGCAACACCAGTATTTTGCGGAAGCAAACCCAATGCAACAACCAGGAAACCCAGATAATTTAAGGGGAGGAACGATTAAACCCCGCCGCCCCACCCGCTTTCCGAGGAGGCGGTGCGCCGACAAACACCTTCAGGCGACTACAACTCCCAGCATGCCCTCGTTCTAAAGACTTACTCCGTCTGGTGAGAAGGCTTGGCAAAAAAAAAAAAAAAAAAAGAGGGTGGCGAGAAAGATGGCGGCGAAGGTAGTAGTACTAGTAGCAACAGCCGCCGCCACAAAGTTGATCTGAGAGGAGAAGGCGAAGAAGACGCGCGCTTGGGTCCGCTGAAAGGCAGCTTCTAATGGTCAGGGCTACCGGCGTGCGCGGAAGGGTGTGGGGGAGCTCGGCGAGCTGCTGTGCCGGCGGTGGCCAGAAGGGGACAGACCGACGGAAAAGCTCTGAAGGTGGCTTAGGCTGGGACGACGTAGCAACAGTAGCGGCTCCGGAGCAGCGAAGCGTCTTGAACCAGGTAGAGAGCGAGCTCCGGTGGTCTCGACGTTTCGGCGAAAGAGCAGAGAGGGAAGTGCCTCCATGTCGGACAACCAAAGCTGGCATTCCTCCGGCTCAGAAGAAGATCCCGAGACAGAGTCGGGGGCGCCTGTTGAGCTCTGTGAAGTCCTCAGCAAGGTAATAATAATAATAATAATTAATATTAATTAATAATAATAATACACATGCATACATACATACATACATACATCATACATACATATTTAAAGCCCCTTCGTTTCCTTTCTCCGCCGCTATGGCTCCTCGGGCTCAGCCTGGACGACCGCCTCTGCCTTAGGGAGCGCCACTTTTCCTTACCTGAGCTGCTGGGGGGGGGGTGGCAGTTTCTCTCGGGGGCCCCCTCAGTGGTTGGGGGGTTTCGGGAAGGCGTTTTGGGGGGGGCAGGACGGAAGGGTGGCACCGTCACGCTCGGTCTTCCGCGAAAGAAGCGCTGGCTGCTGGCAGGCAATGAAGGGAGCCTGACGTTGAGTCACCTCGCGGGTGCCCACCGCCCGGCGGTAGCGGTGGTGGCGCCGGCCTGCTGTCGGACTGGCTTGCTAGTCAACGGGAGGTCCCCCGCACGTTTCCTCCGCCGCCCACCTCCGGAGCTGGGCTGTGTGTAAAATAGGCGTAATGCGAGTACATAGGAAGCGCTTCGTCGCCGCAGTCGGAAAAAAAAAAAAGGCGCTGAGGATCTTTATCCGAGGAGGGGCTGCTTGTCTCCGAAACGATGCATTCGCTGAAATGTCACTTGTCCCTGTGGAACTTCTTTGATAGCTACGGGATTGTTTGCTTGAAAGACTTGCTAAAATAACTTACACATGCGTGGGTCTCTTTTTGGTTTTGTTTTTTCTTGTGGTAAAAGGAAGAATCCTCCTTATTCATCCCTCTCTTTGCAACTGCCTGGTATAGAGTATTGTTGCAGACCTCACTTGTAACCATTGCTTGGATGAGTAAATATTTTGGTGACAATCTTTGTTTTTTGGTATACACATGAAGAAATAGGTAACTTCATTGTCATCCCCTGAAACAAAAAATCACAAGATTTCTTAATATTTTTGTTTTAATAAGGGGAAGAAAAACCATGTGTGTATGCAATTACAGTATAACAGATTGTGGCAATATCCGACAAGAGGTTGTGACCTTTGGGCAAAGCATCAAATAGTGTCATAAAATAGGCTGGCTGGAAGATAGAAGAGGTAGTTCTTTCAGATTTCAGTCTCTCTGCTCTTTCTAATCTGTATTATGAATCCTTGCTTTGAAATTAAAAGGGATGGGCATGGTTGCTACTTAGCTAGAGATCACTTGGATTAGAAGTTTGGGGGGGGACGGGACAGAAAGGCAATGGCAAAGAGTTCTGTATAGTTGCCAAGAAAATTACATTAATGTATCCATAAAGTCATTTGATGTTGAGCATAGTTTAAAGGAAACCTTAACAAATTTTCTGAAAGTCATCCTAGGGAGAAAATGTTGCAACTCTGAAATTGCCTATTTTTAAAATGTAGCAAATAGTTTAGGAAACTGTGTATTTTTAGAAGCTTGTGAATTGCACTGGTACAATCTAACTAGCACAATTATTTGCTAATAACTTTCATAAATAATAAATTGTCTACATGTTTCCTTCAAATATTCTTAAAATGTAGATAAGCTCTCAGATATAGTTTAGTAGTCTGTAACAGTGAGGAAGCACTGCTGATTTATTAGAAAAATCTAAGAGAATGCCTTTGTTATAAGAGCTCAATAACCTCAAGTAAAAGCTAAAAAGTTCATTAGGTTGTAGTATTTTACTATACATGGCCCTTAGAAATGTGTAACTGGCTTTATACAAGAATTATGTATTAGACTGGGATCAAGGAAACTGGTTGAAGTCCAGTGTTAGAGTTCTCCAAGTTACTTTAAGTCTTATTTCACAGGTTGTTGGTTGAAGGATAAAATAAAGATAATCTGCAAAACAGCTTCAGCTCATAAGAGCTTTATCATAGTAGTTGCTCTTTCTACCTGCTTAGTTTGACTGCCGTTGTAAAGAATGGATGGAAAGAACTGCAGTGTGTATTCCAAGAACTTCACAATGCCTTATCTAGTCATGTTGTTTTCCATATTTTTATTAATACTTTTGTTTGCCTTTTTGTAAGTTCAGAGCAGATAATTCAGAATGAATAATACAGTAGTGGTGCCTTTTCTCTTAAGTTCAGATCAATATTTATACATATTTACAAGTTCTTTCCATTTCATTAAATGTACACACCTGTTAATACAATTTTAAAGAATTCACAAAAATTCACAATTCTGTCATCCAATATTCATGATAATATTTCCTTGAAGTATGATCTATTTGATATAGTAATTGAATTCTGAAATGATGCATCTGGAAAGTTCTTAATCTTCTAAATTCTCTTAAGCACTTTATAGCAACTTTAACTCAAAGTTATATTAGTTTATGACACACCGAATATTTACATTATAATTTTATTTCAAGATATATAAGGTTGCCAAATTGAGCAGTGTACAGCATAGAGTAATTAACAACAAATAGCCAATATATACATACAAAAGCTAAATATAAAATGGCAATCAAGTACAAGGCAAAACAAACCTCAGAAGGGGACTGCCATTCAACCAACCCCTAACCCTTAGGAGAAGAGCCAGGGGTCTCAAGTGCTTTCCCAAAGACAAGAAATGTTGGGGCTGGAACCTGTCATATATTGGGGATAGGATCATCATTCCAGTGAGCAGGGACAACCCTGGAAAAGATATGCTTTCTAGTCCCATAAGATGTCAAGACTTTAAAAAAAGAATATGTAGTGTGCCCTGCCTGTGGAAGTATGTGGGGTGGGCAAATCTTTTTGGGAGAAGAAGGTCCCTCAAATATAGTAATCTGTTCCTACCGTATATCACGTAGGTGTTTTATGTTTTCCTGGGCTAAGGAGCAGTTTTAAAAGATTTAAATGTTTTCATCTCCAAAAAGCTGCCCAGAGCCTTTTGGAAATTGAGTTGCATATAAATAATAGTAATAATTAAGTTATTTTCCTACTGAACCATCCACATGTAATAGGGGCAGGAACTTTACTAAAGTTTTTCCTAACCAGACTATTTTCTAGATTAATTAAAAGAGAAAGTACTTGCCTTTAGTCATAATCTCAAAAGTCCAACATAAAAGACATATGGAAAAAAAAGCGGCTTTGCTTTCTCAGGTTACCATTTTCTCATGACTTCCTAATATGAAAGTAGATGATGATCTATCAGCAAAGGACCAAAGTCCCATTCCCCTCTCTTCTGTAAATTAATAGCATGTTGAACCTGTTTTGTTGTTTTAGAAAGATTCTTGCTCATGCATCTCCTGCATGCTTTGTATTCCACTTTTCTGCATTTTTCAAATATTTTATGTATTACATTTATATGCCACCCATCTCATCAATAATACAATTCTGGACAGCTTACAAAATGATAAAAATATAAACATAAAAAGAGTTGAAATTAAGACTTAAATAAGATTGTGGGAATCCATGGTGTTCTGAGCTTGGTTGCTTTCTTGCAGATGTTTCATTACCCAAATGGATAACATAATGCAATGTTGGATAATTAAGTGTCTGTAAAAAACCATCAAGCTCAGAGAGCATCAAGGACCCCACAGTTAAATCATGAGCTACAAATATTCCCTTCTATTGTTACTTAAATAAGAACTAAAATGTAGTGGGACAAACAGCAGAAGGTCTTCTCTGTTATCCTGTCAGCCACCTTCAGCAAAGAGCATGCCCATCAGGGCCTCAAGCCAGCTAGCCATACCAGGTTTTAAGGCTCTTATATAAGGCCAGAAGAATGGGGGCAGATCTCCCCTCCAGTGGCAGGAACCATTGCAGAAAAGGCTCTTCAAAAATATTAGACAAACAATTGTTCAAGGGATATTTTCGTATGCAAACACACATGTCCCACAGTGTTTATTTTACAGCATTAAGAATTCCGTCTATTATAGTCTAACGTAGTCCATTGAACATAGTATTCTGGAGGGGTTCCCAAAGTGAAAAAATGTTGACTACTTTGTGGTCAAATATTATATAAATCCAGTCAATGTAATTGTTTTATAGTATTTTGTGCAAACTGCAACAATTGTATTGGTTAAGAACTGTGATTCAACTAACTGTAGCTTGACATTCATTACTGTAAATGATCAAGAATTGATAAGGTTGCATATTTTGTAGCATTTAAATAATTTTATGGAGTATGTAATTTGTCACTATAAAGTGTTTAGATGGCCAAGAACAAAGCACTGATATTAAAGACCATGTGTCCTTGAACCTATCTTCTCCAGGCAGAATTTTCCCATCATACACAATCTGTTCAGGACACAATGCTGCAAGTATCCACTCCTTGAAAGGTCAAAGAGTTGACCTACACCTAGCTGAGTAGCAAAAGCAGAACTCATTTAGCCCATTTCCAACACTTTCATTAGTATGGACATTCTCCAGCCTCAGTAAAGTCCATAACAAAAATGTCAGTGTCTGGAAATGTGCTTTCTCCGTATAGCCCCTTGATTGTGGAACAGTTTACCCTCTCCCCCATGGTCAGAACATAAGCACCTAGAATCTTCCAAATTGGGTATGAAAATCACTGCAAAAAATAAAATGTGCTAGATTATGCATCTGACTAAAAGGACAAAAAATTTGCTCGTCTGTCTACTTGTTGGAGGCTTTAACAACAGAAGGCAAAAATAAGACAGTAATTGGAATGCATGGTTCCAATTGATGGAAGGTGTGTGCTGCTGAGGTCTGGCATGTTATAAGAATATTCCAGTTAAGGTTATGAAGCTGAGTCTATGTGTCAGGATTCTGGCAGTTACCCCAATGAAATCATTAGTCTCGAGCCAAACTCCCAAAACTTCAAAGGATTTATTGGAAGTCAACATGTCAGCATGACTTGAGCTTAGCAACTCTGAGACACGTTTTATAGTTGCCACCATGTATATCGCTATATGAAATTATTTACAAAAAATGAGTACAAAGTTTATAGTATAATTGAAATAGTATTAATGTCAAATTTATCACATGCCTACATATGAATTCCATTCCATAATGTAGCTTGAAGACTGCTGTACAAGTTAATGTAAAAGGGATCATGTAATTTAATCGAAGCAGACTGCATTC